ATTTGTATGTTCACAAATGCTCATTACAAATGCACTGTCGCCGAATTGGAAACTGAGTATGCTATTTGTTATTTTATGCTTTAGCTTTGGATATTTTTCTTATTCAATTACATTGAATATAAAATGTTTTTTATTTTTTATTTTTAGTGAAGGATTTCCAATAACACCATGTTCGAATTTAACAAAAGTTTATTCATTAACACCATTATTAGCTAATAATAAAGATAAACGAGGTTTAGCACTTGATGGAAAATTAAAACATGAAGATACAAATTTAGCTTCAGCGACAATGTAAGTTTCATTATATATTTTTGATAAATAAATAAAAAAAAAACAAATAATGAAAATTTATTTAAACTAGAATTCGAAATACAACACAAAAAGAAAATCTTGGAATTATCGTGCAATACAAAGTAAAAGTTAAAATAATTGTTGCAATGGGAGGGTAAGTTTATATTATCTTAATTTTAAAAAACAAAAAAAAAAATTTTTCTTTTTTTTTTTTATTTAATAATTTTTAAAGAGATTTAGCAGTTGAATTACCATTTACTTTAACTCATCCAAAACCACCTCCAACTCCTCCACCATCTCGACAACTTGAATTTATTTCAAATCAACAAAATACTGATGATCAACAAGTCATAGATGTACCTGTTGATCATAATTTAATTCAACTTGATACAAAGTTTGTCTTTTGTTTTTTATTTAAAAATAATTAATAATTAATTTTGTTTTTTTTTTCTATTAAAAGTTCTGATAATCCTGGTCATGATGATGATTTTATCTTTGAAGAATTTGCACGTATACGTCTTAAAGGTCATGAGAGTGGTCATGAAGATACGGAAGCATAAACAAACAAAAAAATACCCAATGTTCATTATATCAATCGAACAAATTTCTTCTATCTTTTTTCTTCTCTCATAAAGATTTTAAACAATGCGAACCGCCGTGATTTTTGTCTCTTATTATTGTTCATTGCTTTTCTTATTTGTTTGTTGTACATATTGTTGTTCTATGTATCTATTGCTTTTCTTTCTCATTCATTCAATATTATGAAAAACAAAAAACAAAATAAATAACAATAAAGAATGAAGGATAATTCATTATGTTCTCTATAATCAAATATATATATATCAAGTAGAACATTAGTTTGTCGAGAGGTCTATTGACATTTATTTCAACACTGAATATTTATTTATTGATAGTATATAATACATCTAAGCTGGAAGAAAAAATAACTATAATTTTACAGAATATTCGAAAAGTAATTTTCGAGTTGTAATCGGTCGGTCTTCGCCGATTGGAAAGTATTGGATAGATAAGCCACTTTTCTCTGATAAAACTTGTTGAGAACAAGTTTGCTTGTTCTTATCAAAATAATAAAATAATGTTGTTTCAAGAACAATCAGTTTTATTGTTTTCTAGGTTTTATTTCTTTGAAAACCACAATTAGGGCGTTCCCCTCCCCAAAAATGTCAATTTTGGTCAAATTTGTCAAATTTGTGATTTCTAGCTCAATAGATAGAGCTAAGTGTCTACTTTCGAATGCACTATAGTTTATTAATTTTATAATGAGATTTAAGGATATTGCACGGGATTTTCTCAACTTCTTGTAGAATAAAATAAGGTTTTTTCTAGAAAGGTTTTGCTTTCATCTCAAAATAGGATTTTTGATTTTTACGTTTCCGTGTGTCTCAGATTTGTCTGCCATTTTAAACGCTAAAAAGCTGGGCTTAGTGTCAAAATGAAGGCAAAAATTAGCTCTACAACTTAACAGAGTCGGATTTTTCGATTTCCTCATTAATGTTTATAAGAAACTAACTTTTCTAGACCTACCTCCATCGGCTTTTTCATATTTCATCAGAGAAATTTTCTAAAAACAGAAGCTAGGAGAGAATCGAAAGATCAAGCCCTGTTAAGTTGTAGCGCCACATATTGGCTACATTTTAAGATCAGCCCGAACTTTCTAGCTTTCGAAATGGTGGAGAAATTTGAGACGCACAGAAACCTAAATTTTGACCCTTAACATTTTACTAACTCTTTGTAGACTCAATACATCGAGTTGAAATTTTTACTGTGAGCTGTCTATTTCGAGATACACCTCCACTGGAAATTTCATCGTGATTGGACGCTCAAAAAAAAAAATTTCACTTTAGAGAGGGAACCTCTTAGAATTGTGTTACTTGAGCTAAACTTTAATCATGTATGTTTTAGTAAAGATCAAATTTAGGTTTGAATCGTCGTTTAGAAGGAAAGTGTTGGATTTATCTGAAACGATTGTATGAGAAAATTCAAGATTTGAAGTCCAGCAATCAGTCGATGTGTAAATGACTCTTTTGTTGTCGCGATAGATGTAGCAATATTACATATTTATCATTGAGAAACGTAACAGATATAAATGAGTACAACATATGTCTCCCGGGACATTTACGAAAAATCTTAGTGAAAAAAGAGCACAGACATAAAAGATTTTTTGAACCGATCGGACCGGAGCAAATTCAAAAATTCCCAATCGGGTACAAATAAACAATCCTCCCTCCTTTCGAGTATCGAAAAAACAAAATCTAGGATTATGTGCTCTATTGTTTCAATTTCTGGACTTTCACCGTCCAAGTGTCTTTCTCTTACTTTATAAATATTTGTATGATACCTTTTTTGAAAAACTAGAGACGTTTATCTTTAGTTTGGTGGCTGTGAAAACCTTAAAAACCAAGCCATTTCTATCGATGGATTTCGTATCAAAGATTTTGATGAGCAAAGAAAAAAATTGCTTCGAAAGACTGTAGCAATTACGTGAGATTTTTTCAAAAAAGTGTCACGCAAATATTTATAAAACAAAAGAGGAACACCTGAATGGCGAAAAGTCCAGAAATTTAAACAATTCAGCAGAAAATCCTGCAATTTTTGTTTTTGAAAATCGGAAAAACGGTAGGTTTTTATGTATTGAATTCGGAATTTGTAGTTTTCACAAGTATTTATGAAGTTTAACTATACAAATACAACCTTGCAAGTCTCCTCTATTACCCAAAAATAAAGTCATTTGATTTGACTCAACTGTAATGGAGATGTACAGTTTTTCTTTTGATAAGTGACTTTTCGGACATCTTATAAAAGAATCAGTTTTTACCTTCAGCTATTTATTCGTCTGAAGTTTCATTTTCTTCTTTACTTTCAATCAATTATTGATCTTTAGTTTAATTCCTTCCATTTGACGATAAGATGTATAATGAGATGAATAGAAAAGTTCCAAAAAGCTGTTCATTATTAATATCGACAAAAACCATAAGTTTCAAATCAAAAAATAGTTTTGATCATTTATTTATATGTTGAGACATAAACACAGAAAATTCATTATTTATTAATCTCATGACAAATCTTCTTTGATCTTTCAAGTGATAAAAGTATTTTAATTAAATATGTAAGTCTATCATATTTAATGGTCCGTTAGAAAAAGAATTAAGGATTTTAAAAATTTAAAACAATAAACGAAAAAAAAGATTTTTATCGTAAAAATAATCTGATTAGTTGGACTTTTTTTGATATGATCAATGATAAACATACCCTATAATAATTTCAGAGATGAGACTATAAGGGGATGGTGCGGAAAGTGTGCACTAGAGTTCGTTGGGTTGCAAATTTTTCGAATCCGAGCCCAGGCACCGACTCGACTGATTGAAATTTTTCGGTTCCGAATCCAGTCGAACTGTGCCTTGATACTCTCAATGAAATTTTCTAATCTAAATTGGACAATCGCCCAGAAGATACGAGATACTTTTTCCCAGGTTTTTGTATTCCATGACTAGCAGCACGTCCTAAACTTTTCTCTGACGACTAGAGCCCATCAGGTGTAAAATTTTCCAACCCGACAGGTGCTCTGCACATCCTTCCACTTTTAGAAAATCTTCAGGTTTTTCAAGCCAATATCGTATTTTTTTGTTACGAAAAAGTCGTAAAATGAAGAAAGAAAGTTTAGCATTCTCCACTTTCAAAAAATTATATATGCACCTTTTCAACTGTCAACAAATCTCCTTGCAACTTCCATCCCTCACTTTTCTCTCTTCACCACATTCCTCGATAATTTTACTTTAAAAAGTAAAGAAACATGTTTTGTTTTTGTTTTCAAATTTAATCATGGGAAAAAACATATATTGAAGTAACAAAACAAATAACTTCTTGAATTTTTTAAAAACTATAACAATCTATGTAAGATATAAATATTAAGGTTTCTTGAGAGACATGTGAATAGTAACCTTGTTAATTTATTTAATTCAAATTAGAACTTCGAATAACAACGAATATTTTTTTATTCATTATATTTTTGTATTCTCATATAGAACAAGGCTTATAAAATAAGCAATAGCTTGAAAAAATTGATTATTTCATGAGATAGAACTTGATATTTTAAGCACGAAATATTCAATGTCTACATTGAAAAATATTAAAGTTTGTCATGTAAAATTTTCTGCTCTATCAAGTCTTTTATCTTGTATAAGAAAAGATTTCTATCTTTTGTTTTTCTATAATAAATTATTAAATCACTTATTTTGAATAAATAAAATATATTTTGAGTTGAGAAAAAAAAGAACAAAGATTAGATGAATTCTTTGACAAATCCTATGTTGCATTTATTTGTTCATAATCCAACAGTATCTTTCAATTGATATTTTTATCATTAATATAGGATAGAAACGAAAAATCTAATTACGATTCATTTTCAAAGAAAATCAGTATCATAAGATTCAGACAAATAAAATCATTTACTGTTTTGTCTTAAAATTAATCGTAATAAAATCTCTTTTTTTTTTCTCTTCATACTCTATTTAATCCAAAGCAGATCAACAAAAAAAAGAAGGAAGTTTGCATATAATAATGAGATATACAAAAGTTGCAATCAAAAAATGAATACACATCAAACGAATAGATTTGAGATAAAAAAAAATAAACGCGTTAATAATGTATCTTTAATAAATGGGATTTGAGTTTTTTGTTTATATGAGATTTCATCTCGATAAAATTTCTTTTTGTTCATTTTCGATTTCTTCTTCTGACTTCATACAACCATAATTTAATTTTGCTGTTGTTTTATTATAAATCGTTAATTCAAAATGATTAAAATCCCAACAAACCTTTTTTTTTTTTCAAAAAAGAAAAAAAATCAAATTTAAATATTATTTGAGAAAAAAAAAACTTATCAAACTTACCGTTGCATGATAACCCATAATAAGACAACAAATAATATATTCACAAGCAGAAAAATAACTCCAAGCTGTTGATGGTTGTCCTATATTATTTGAACATTTACTTGTATGTCTTATATATGCAATAATTAGTAAAAGAGAAAAAATAAATGCTGAACAAAATAAACGCATTTTCCATTGATATGATGCTTGAAAACGAAATTTTTTATTTTTTTCATCAATTTCATTATTTAACAATAATTTATATAATAAATGTCGAAATAAAATTAAACATGTTATCATACGTAATGTTGATGATAACATAAATATAATAAATGCTTTTTCATGTAAACTATAATTTTCTTTTGATGATATATATGATAATAATATAAGACCAAAAACTTCACATAATTCAAAAAATGTATTTAAACTTATTAATTGTTTTAATATAAAATATTTTAATTGAGAATTATATTTTAATTTTAATAAACTTGTTTTAAATTGATTATGATAAAGTGATGCAATTAAAAATCGAGGAAAACAATGAAATGCTATTGCCATACGCCATATATATTTACCAGGTGAAACACCAATTACTGATGAAAATGATGGAATAAAATTTCGAGACTAATAAAAATTTCAAAAAAATTCATTTTGATTTTTTTTTTTTTATTTCTCAACTTACTCCACATTCAGATTCGAATATTTGTTCTTTAGTAAATAGAACTGATGTTATAAAACTTGCAACCATACCAAAGAATGGTAAACTAACAATAAAATTTGTTAAATATGGTATAGATATACGTACAACACTTTCAGATGGTGTTATTTCTTTTCGATTTGCCATTATTGTTTTTTGGATGAGAAATTGTAAAACGTCAATCTTTCGTATCCGTGACCCTATTGAATAGAATGATCGAGTCGCATGATGTGTAATTAACCAATTATTGCTTGGAAACCAAGAGGGCGCAGTCAAATGGCATCTTTTTCGTCAGATCTTATATTTTTTCCTTTTTCTTTTTCTTTTATTTTAATTCCATATAGAAATTTTCCTTTTGATTACTAACGTATTTATAAATAAAATTGACGACATGTAATCAAATACAAAGAAAGAAACAATTTTCTCTTATTTCAAAAATTATCATTTTAAATGAGAAAAAAAAGTTGTTTTATAAAAATGTTAATCAATTTTTTTTTTATATATTTAACAAAATTAAAATACATAAAAATTTAAAAAAAAGAAATTAATCTATTAAATAAGGTGATAAACAGAGAATTATAATTGAATTCATTGTTACTCATGTGAGAATATTTGATTATAATCAGGAAAAAGTAATCGTTTATGTTCTGCTCATAATTGAAATGTCCTAGAGGATTTTTATGCACTGCGTTCATGACACCTGATAACATTCTCTGTTTTATTCCGATTAATATGGAATAATATTATATATTCCTAATCTTAATGAGCTATAGTACATAGGAAAAAAAAAATACTTTTTTGTTCTACATAAGACAAATGATTATGCACAAATAACTTATTCGTTTGATAGTATTCATTTTTTCATTGAATTTATCATATTTGAATGCAATAAAATACAAATAAAAACAAAAAGAATTGCTTTTTTTTTCTTGACAAAAAAGATCATATAAATTAAAAAGAAAGAAAGAAAGAAATAATATTTTTATTTTTGACGATAAAATAAAGACATCGACAACTATAGAAATTCGTTTCGAAATAAAAGAAATCATTTGATAAATTATTGTTCATCAGGAATATCTTCACCTGCATTTGTTTGGTCTTCTTCATGTTCATCTAAAACTTCATCTAAAAAAAAAAAAGAGAAACAAATTAAAATCAATAACTTTAAAAATATAATTTACCATTCTGCAAGGCACTTGTAGTGGTTTCACCTGCATCATTTGTATTATTTTCATTTGTTGCAATTAATTCTCCTGGACTTAATTCTAGTTGATCAGTATTTTGTTCTAAACCATGAGCAATATCTCCTGTTGATGTTCCCATATCAATACCACCTTCAATTACCTTAACAAAAAAAAGAAAATTATTGTTTTACTCTTTTAAATAAATTAAAATTAGAAATTTACTTTTCTAAGTGTCTCTTCTAAGTTTTGATAATCATCAATACGTTGATTAACAACATCTCGAATAACTGAATCAAGAATAGTTCGACCAACTACTAAATTATTAACTTGTGTCATTGTCTTTTCCATTAACCAAGGCATAAATGATGTTTCAATTTCTAAAAAATAAAATAATCTAATAAGAAAAAAAAACCTAATTCTAGTTTTAAATCAAATAAATACCATGTTCAACAGGATCATAAAAGTATCCATTTTCTCTTAAATTATTAAATACACTTGGAACAAGATCTTGTAAATAAGATTTAGCAAAAGCTCGAGCAGCTATTTTTTGTGCAACATCTTGTTCTAATCGAAGTGCTTCTTGTGCTTGTTTTATTCGACGATCTTTTTCAGATCTTAAACGTCTTTCTTGTTCTTCTAATCTTTGTAATTCAATTAATTCAGCATTACGTATTTCTTCATATTCTCGTTGTTGTTCACGTATTTCAGCTAATTCTTCTTCTTCAGCAACTTCAATTAATGCTTGTTCAACTGTTTTACCAATTAATGTTTCAACAATTGGTTTGACTTCAAGATCAAAATCAAATAACTAAAATTTTTAGAATTAAATTTAACAAAAACAAAAAAAAAAAAAAAAGAAATGAAAAGAAATTTACATCGCCTGCTTCAATTTGTGTAGCTATATCTTTGCCAGTAGATTGTGGTATGAATAATGGTGATGGTGGTCGATCAAGAAATGCATCAGTTTGAACATCAACATCAGCTTCTTCAATACGATCACTAAATTTTTAAACAAAAAAAAAAAATTCAAAACTTTTTATAATAAAAATCTAAGATCTTTTTTGTATATTGAAAAAAGTATAGCAAAGAACGTATATCTCTATGAGACTTGAGTCGTCAAAAAATGAGTTTTTGAATATTGATTTTTAAAATTTAACTTTAGTCGTTCAATAGTACATCATATTCTATCGTTTTTTTTAAGCTGAAACTCTCAACTTTGTTTCAATGAAGAAATCTTTCCAATTTTCAAATCACTAGTGAGCCCGAAACCATTATTCTATAAGTTCTCAATCATGCTGATTTCGAATATCACCATGCAAGTTGCTGCACAGTTTTTCTAGAACAGCTTTCCAGAGCGAAAGACTTATTTCAAAACAATCATAAAGACCATTACAGTCGTAATATTCTTTCCTACGTGTGACTGCAATACTAGTCACAGGATAAAAGAGAAAATTACGATTTTGGAAGGCTTTATCATGGTTTTAAAACGAAAAAAAAAATGCTTTCTATTACAAAACTCGACACATTCAGCAATCTGCATGGATTAAGAGATCTCCTCAAAAAAAGTCACATTTTCATCAGAATCATTGAAATCGAAATAAATACATGGGGAGATAGTCTGTCATTTGCTCTTTTATAAATGATAAAAATTTTTCTTCGATACCTCCTTTTTTCCGAAAAATTTTCAAGATTTTTGACAACCTCTATTCGAAAAAGCAACAGTTTTTGGAAAAACTCAAAAATCTTTTTCGTTTTTTCTCAAAATGGTGGTCGAACGATGCATCTCCAGCGAAAGTCAAATATTTTTCTTTTTGTTCTTCAGGAACATCAAAGATTACAGTGCGCATATGAGAGCCCTTTTCTTGATAAAGCTTTGCTATTATTATACAGACAAGCAATTTTTTTACGAGATTTTTCAGTGATTGGACTTGTCAGACCTTTTTTCCTCGAGAAAGATAAGAGTAAAAAACAAAGAGCATTCATAGGCAGTGCGTTCTGACATGCTCTTTCAAACAAAAAAACAATCAAGCATATTGAATGAACACCCACAGAGAATTTTTGGAGATGCGATGAGCTATTTTTCGATCCTTGTTCGGTTCGTATCTCCCTTATGCATCAGGATAGGAGGCTGAAAATTTTACCAAAGACGTCCTTTTACAGTCCTAACATATCCTCAAAGTTTCATAGCATTTGAATGCTTCTGGGTTGAGATCAATTTTTGAAGGGCCCCGTTAAAAAACAGATTTTGATGTAGAAAGGATTTCACCAAGGAAAACTGGTTTTTCAGGAAAACAGTGTAGAGAGACTTCGCAGAAATTGACATGATGATATTCGGAATTAGCATAAGCAATAAGATATAGAATAGTAGTTTTCCACTCAAAAGCGATTTGACAATAGGATAGGGTTCTCTCATCAGATAAGCGTACTTAAAAATTGCTTAATTGAAAATAGATAATAACTATACATGATAGATAAATAAATCGAAAATAGATCTAATACAATCATTAAAATGTGTTCGATAATACTTATTTAATTCATTGAGCAAGTTTTATAATATTTTAAACCGAATCAATGTGAAATAATATTAAAAAAAAAGGACATAATGACAGGAAACGAATAAAACAGATGTTTTTTTTAAATTTAAGTAAATAAGATTATTAGAGAAAAAAATATACAGAAAATCTTTTTCCTTTATGCAAAGATGATGATATTATTAGAAAATATAAATGGAAAAAAAAATCGTTTATGATATGAAAACATATTATTTCGAGCAATTCTATGCAATCTAAATCTGACGAATGATTGTTTTTTTTTTTCGTTAGACTTGAAATATTTTCTCTAATAAAATTTAGATTAAAAATATTCACCTGAGTTCTTCAAGATAAAGTTCTGTTTGAACATCAATATTTTTTCGATTATGTACAGGTTCAGGTGTTCTTGTTCGAATTTGTTCTCGTGCTTTACGTCTTGCTAAAGCACGACGTTTAGCTTCTTGTTGACGTTGAACTTCAATTGGATCTGGTTGAGCATGCTATTTAAATCAAATAAAAATTTTCTTCTAGAGAAATAAAAAATTTACCGCAGGAAGTGTATGAAGTGCATATGTATTTCCACGAATAACACGACGATCATACATAAGATTACCAAATGTACTACTTTCTTCTCTTTATTAACATATATCGATTACAAATAGTAATAAAATAGAGAATTAATAATAAACTTACGGTGGATTAACCACTGGTTGTCGAAATTTTTGTCGTTGTCCTTGTTGTTGTACTGCTTTAGGCTGACTTGAAAATGTATAAGTTGAATTAGGTGGTTTTACAAGTGTTGCAGCCATTTTAAAAGATTAATTTTTGTATTTATGGTAGAGTTGTAAAATAATGTAATTAACTAGCAGTTGAGAACGACAAATGCTTTATAAGTATGCATTTTATCCTCAACGACCAGAATACATAAATGATACACCATAATTGATTTTGTTGTTACAGTAGAGACTCTACCTGACAACTATCTTTAATAATAGTTAAACAAATAAAAAAATCAATTTATAATGTAAAAGCTATAAGAAGCAATCATTTGAAATGAAAAATTTTCAAAAATAATGGATGGCTTCAATCATTGATTGATAGCGTCATCTGTTGCAGAGTCAAAGGATTTGTTTTCGATTTTTTTTGACAGGTATCATAATTATAACATAAATTATTTTTCATAATTACTTTGATGCTTTTCAATATTAGAAAAAAGATCGAAAATGAGTATATAAGTGAGTTGTATTTTCTTTTTATTTTGCTTTATAGAACGTTTTGCAAACTTTTTTCCGATCATACTTTTTGTTAGTAATTCAAGAGTACTTTGTGAGCATGGTAGCGAGTATTTTTTATGTATATAGCAATTATTCATTCAAAATTGCGCATTACATAAATTGTCAAGTAGCTGTTGCAATTGAAAACAGTAGTATATGCAGGGCTGTCGCGAAGTCCTCAAGATTAGGGGAGGGGGGGGGGCGGGGGAGGATCGACGACTCAAGAGATCGACTGAAAAATTTCAGCAATGGTCGATTAGACCAATCGATGGGGAAGTTGTTCCCGTTTGTGGAGAAATAGTTCCCTCCACAAAAAGTCACGCGTATCCAGGAGAAATGACAAAAATATAAACATATATTTATCATGTTTTATTTACTATAAAGGAATACTTCAACGAGAACAAACAGAACGAAAGAATACACTATATGTATCAATCAATCTCTACTCCATTACCTATTTTTCATTTTTCATTTCTGCTTATTGATGTTGAAATTGATGAAGGTTTTCTGCTAGAAATATTTACATTTCTGCTGTAAAAAATTCATTTCTATAGTTCAAACAATCAAAAGTAGGAGTTGGAATTTTACTTTTTTTCAATTTCA